CGATCAGCCGCTCGGCGCTCAGTTCGAGTCGGACCTCCGTTGTAGTCGGATCGTGTCGTTCTGCCGCGCTGTCTCTTTCTCTTTCTCTCTTTCTCCTTCTCTCTTTCTCTCATTCCCTCCCGTGGGCACGCGCGCGCGGGCGCCAGTGTGGTGTTGTTATATGTGTGTGTCTCCCCCGTTCTCCCTCTGTGTGTCGTTCCCCCCTTCACCCGCAACGACAACGAGTTCCGCCCAAGTGAAAAAGAGTCGAGCTTTCCTGCAAACAAGACGCGTCCTCGACGGCAGTTGTTTGTTTTCTGGTTTCGCGGTGTCGCGGCTGACACAAACAGCGAAGTCAAAAGCGAGAAGGGAATCGTGCGCGCGCGCGTGTAGAGAGGAGAAGACAAACGCGAGCGAGCGAGGCCCGCGTGTGTCTCGTCATCGTCGTCGGTCGTCGGTGCGAAGAGTTTCAGTCAACGGAAGGAGAAGTAGGTTAGCACACGGTGGCTTTCGCGTACCGCGGTAAAATATAACACGGCTCTCTCGACGACAACTACTTCGCCGTGCACCTTTTAGCCGGAGTCCGCGAGTGTGTACCATCATCCTGATGTGGTGACGGTGACGTTCAACCGACGCGCACTTCTTTTACGTAACAAAAGCGCGCGCGTGCGCTCTCCTACGTAATCCGTCTTGATTTCTGTCCTTCTTGTTTGTCGGTTACAAGTGGAGAGAATCTTCGATCATCGATGGTATACGCGGCTACTCGTTCTCGTGCGTGTTCGTGTCCCGTTGGATCGGTCGTTCGGTCATTTTCGTTTCGTTTCGTTTAAAACCAGTGCCTCTGTGGATTTCGCGTCGTATTCGTTCGCCGTACTTCGTGCGCGATACGCGTCGATCTCTCGGAGTGTGCTTCGATTTTTCGCGCTTTCGTCAATGTTCGTGTCGATACCGAAACGATCCGATTCGTCGCGAGATTTCGTCCAAGTTCACCGAACGAAGCGCGCGTCTGTCCCGCGATCGTCACGGTTCGCGTTCAAATGTGAGCCGAAAAGTAAACCGTTCGTGATTTTCAGTAAGGAGATTCCGTCGCCCGGATACATAACCGTGGGCTACGAACGTCGGAAATCGTCGACCAGTGCATCGTGTACTCTTCGTTGATGCAACTTCCTATTTGTGGTGTTTCTTTTCTCTTCGAGATAAGTGTTGATCGTTCAAACCTCCGAGTGGTGCAACTGTTTCAAGTGCAATATTTGATCAGTGATTTAAAAGAAAAGCCGATGATTATTCGGCTAATGAAAAAGTGAGAGTTTTATCAGTGCAGTACTACGCTATTCTCTTGTGGATTATTGGATATATTATACCCGCTGCGATCTGCCGTCGGAGCGCAACGTCGCCGCTCACCATTTATGTAAGTACTAAAATACTATTTTAAAAGTTACTTTCGTGATTGTGATCGATTCGAGAATCTCATTGTCGTCAATGTTGTCGATATCGCGAGTGAATTTTGTTTATCGTATTTGTTATACGTATCTTGCTCAACCGTTTTCTTGAAAGATTACTCTTTTTCTTTTTATTAGAATTTGTCGACGTGCAAAAATAAGGAAACTTTGAGTAATTGCGTCATCGGCGAAGTCGTACGTTTTGAACACGTTCGCCATATTTCGTACGAACTTCGAATAAAAAGCATCGACGTTTCGGAGGTTACGATTGAAACGTTCATCTTACGGTCGAGATCTCGATTTTGTTATCGATTGCATATCGAAACGTATCCTTTCCGGTCATTTTTCGCGGTACGACGCCATGATTTTTAGTTGGAAGATAATTTACCGATCAAGTTGAAAGTTAGTTCTTCATTTTATTTAATCGAATCAAGTTTGGCATTGTTGAAGTTGAATATTTGGCGGTTAGTGTAGAAATTCCACTTCAATGTCTTTTCTCTCGTAAATTGTGACCAGACGCTTCTAAGAATTTTCTCGAAACTTTTGACAGGTTATTTATTCGAATGCTTCTGTTTAATTTCTTTCTCGACTCCGTTTGGCTGATAACTTTTCGTTTTTGTCCCTCATATACGAATAATTAATTCTTTTTTTATTTTTAAAATAGAATTCAAAAGTGTGTTATCTCTCGAATGGCGGGAAAAATATAACTAAAATAATTACGTCATATCAGATAGGAAACTCTTCGAGTAGTTTCTAATCTACCAAACGCGAATGGAAGCTAGTGACAAATTCGAAGCTTTACAGATTCCCGCCATTCGGAGTGACAGTGACAGCGTTTCCATGCAAACGCAGTGTTACATTGTTGGTCGTTAACTTTTAAATAATGGGTGCTGTGTCAACCACGACCCACATTTAATCGACTTTTATTTTTTCCTATTTTTGAACGAAACCATCGCAGAAAAATATCTGAAAAATTAACTTAAAATGTAGTAAATGAATAAAATTTTAGTTGTTAGCAATTAAGTGTTTCAACAAAGTGAAGGAACGAGCGTAGAAAGTAGAAATTCGTTTCATAGTTTACGGATGGTGGAAGGTCTATTTATATTTCATAATCTGCAGAAGTGACGTTTAGCAAGAGAGGTTTTAATCTCACCGTGGGATACAAGTTGGACAAGGAAGGGGGAAAACGTCGATGCCTGTTCGACGATCTATTTAAAATTCTTCGCGCGGAAATGTTATCTTATCGGAGAAAAGAACGTTCCGCTGAGAAAGCGAAACTTGGAAAAGTCGTCGTAGCGTTTCAACCTCTTTTCTTCGTCATTGTTTACGGCTTATATCGTTCCTTTATCAAAGAATTCTTGTCGGCAAGTGCAATACCATCGATGTGTCGGTAGTAACGACAGGTTTCTTGGGAAATTGACCCTTTGTGCTTGTGTGTGCGATCGTACAGAGACATTTGTGTACAATACGTAGTGACATTTTAAATCTTAACATTTTATCGATCGATGACGCTATTTCGACTTTGAATTAAAATCTTCGTTTTTTCGATAAAATTTTTATAACTTACTCTTAATGTTTATTGCAGATAGGATTGTTTGTTGAGGTGTTGGTGTAATGACTAGTGTAGTGGACTAGTAATCTGAGGGGCTCAAGTTCGAAACCGTCGGGGGGGTTAATTTATATGCAGTTTTTCGTGTTTTTCTTATTTATGAGTAGCAAAGGTTGTTGTAGGTGTATGTCTGAAAATTTAATGGTAAATATATATGAATTGACCATGTTTAGTGTAGAAAGCGGCAATTAATCAGCTGATTAGATTTTCGATACGGTGACGTTATGACCTTTCAAGTCCCCTAAAGGAATAAATTGCAATCTTTACGAAATATCAGCAAGACGATAAATCAGCAAAAATACTCTCAAACACGACGTATATTCGAAAACGATTGATTCAAATTCATTGTCTCGAATGTATAATTAGTATTTTTTATACTTATCTGTATATCCAACACTATTATGTGGTAATCGAAGAGTAATCAATGCTTCGTACGTAATTTACTACTAACTGCAGCACCGTTTGCAGGAGCATTTGAATTACAAAGAAAAACGACGAACAATCGCGCGAGTACTTTTCCCCGGCACGAAAGTCGAATTCCAATGTGTTCCTCGACGCTTGGCGACTACCACAGTCTCGAAAGTCAATCGACGTCGATTAAAGAGCGACGCGGGCTTCATTAAAATTCAATTAAAAAGAAAGCATCGATCGCAATTTTAGCAATTTAACCGCTGGTCTAACGTGCGTCGTTAAAAAAAACCTACTTGCTCGATCGCATGAAAGCGACCGTGAAATAAAAAAAGAAAAAAGTAAGAGAGAATAGGAAGTTCGCACAATCCACTGTACAATAAAGTAGTTACGTAGTAAAAGTTCCTTTCATATTTAATTACACGTGGTGGAATTTCGCATCGCGTATCGCGGGACCCTTCAGTTTAATCTCGTTTCTATGCAAGCTTTTCAAACATCCTCGTTCTAGCTCCAACCCTATTCATCGGTGTACTCGCCCTGGTCTTATCATTTTACTCGCTTAACGTTTTAATGAACATTTTTCAATTTCAACGAGCTTTTCAATAACCGTACCGACGAACCGCGATTATATTCCCTGGGAAATAATATTCTCATCAAGTCGACGATTACGATTTCCTGAATTCGATAAAAAAAAAAGGAACGATATTGTTAACTTGTTCAAAAAAGTTCGTGTCATTGTGCATTTTACATTATCCACGGAATTTATTTGAATAATAATCTGAAGATTATTTCGATTTGTAAATTTACATTGAGTGTGAAAGTATCGGCGGAAGTCATAAAACAAAGTTAGTAAAATAATACAGTGGCTCTTGTTATATTGCCATTAATTGAGTACATATTTATATATCTTATAGAGCCGCGATGTATTGCGATATATAACGCAAGGGTGATATAACGCGAGAGTGATAGAAATACGTCGGTGATATAACGCGAGGGTGATACTAAAGCGTCGGTGATATAACGCGAGAGTGATATTAAAGCGTCGGTGATATAACGCGAGTGATCTAAATGTGTCGGTGATATAACGCGAGGTGATACTAAAGCGTCGGCGATATAACGCGGGTGATACTAAAGCGTCGGTAATATAACGCGAGGTGATACTAAAGCGTCGGCGATATAACGCGAGGGTGATACTAAAGCGTCGGCGATATAACGCGAGAGTGATATAAACGTGTTGGTGATATAATATATGGCTATATAACGCGTGGGTGATGTGAACGCATCGGTGATATAGCGCGTGGCAATATAACGCGTGGAAATGTAACATGTCAGTGATATAACGCGTGGCGTCATAACGCATCGGCAATATATCGCATGGGTGATATAACGCGTGGCAATATAACGCATCGGTAATATATCGCGAGAATGACAATGCGTGGCGATATAACGCATCGAAAATATATTTCGTGGGTGATATAACACGTGGTATAACACGTCGATGACACAAATGGCGATATAACGAGTAGTACTACAGTATCAATATACACCGCTATTGTACTTGAATATTCGTGCGAACGTAGCAATATTACGAAAGTCTACTGTATTTAAAGGAGCTAATAGCCCTAGTAAATTATGTATGAAACTAAAATTAGAAATCCGAAGACGGGTTAATTATGTCATAATTGTGTTTTTCTTCCTGAAACTTAATATCATTGTAGTTATATGGATAGAAGCTGGAACACTGACTAATTATTCCCAGATCGTAACCGTTTGCAAGCAAATTAATCGTGGAACGTCCCGTTAACCTCGTTACTTGTTCCTCCCGTTTTACCTTCTTCCTCTGTTCGTGTTCCAAGGATCTCTTTCGCGTGCAGATCGAGCGAGAAACGGGAGGCATAAAACGTTGTTACACAGTCGACGAAATGATCGAATTATCAACCGTATCGTTTCTTCGTTCGGAGGTCGTGCTTTCAGCAGTTATCGGTTTACGCGTACCACAGCGAGTCGAATGGCCTAATTCATCGTTTACTCTTTCCCGCGTCACACCATTTATTTATTGGTTGATCGCTTTGTATCCGTGGAAAACTATCTACTCGTCATTTTCAACGATATACAAGATCGGTAGACTCGTTTTTAATCGAGTTGGTTAATTTATGAAATTCAACGAGCGTCGTAAATCAAAGAAAACAAGAAAATCCAGCGTCGTGATCATAGTTCGTGTTATTAGTCTCGCCATTACGAACGTCATCAAAGATAGTTTCCAGTTGTTACGTCCCGCACAATTGCGGCCAGTTCCTTATCTGTTGCGTACACGCGTCGCGTTAACCTTGTATTTTTATCGAGCATTCTGTGATTAATTCTTGAATGAAAAGGAACTGCTAGGAGATGTTTGAACATAATGTTTTCAATGTCCTCGGCAAGCATAACTTTTCTGCATTAAATCATAATTTTATATCGCAAATGTCCAAATTCCCAAATCTTTTTCGAGTGTTCTAAATTTCTAAGTTTAAAGAGTTTTCTTTCTTACATCGCCACTTTTCTTAGCCAGTGTACTAACCATCTTCGAACAGCATATGACTGTATACATAACGTGTGGGCACGAACACAAAGTGCGACGACGACGTGTCGTCGAAGGTTGGTTTGAAAAGGCGAGTGCAGGTCCCATTCTCAACACCTGCCTCGTAGATTGTGAGGACATTTTTCTAGCGTCTGGAAAATCTCCCTGCTCTTCTCGGCTCTTTCGTTCACAAAAGGGAACCGGCTTCGTCGAATGTTCGCTGACCTTTGTAATCTTTTATTATCGTACACGTTTGTACAATGAAAACGGTTCCTAGACCGTATACGGTCCTCCGCGCACAACTCTCACAAAGAAAAAAATTGTGACCGAGATGGCAAACGTTAATGGCGTTCTCTTTTCGACGTTGAACTTTTCGTCGTTGAAAGCAAGCATTT